CTCTCTCTCTCTCTCTCTCTCTCTCTCTCTCTCTCTCTCTCTGTGTGTGTGTGTGTGTGTGTGTGTGTGTGTGTGTGTGTGTGTGTGTGTGGGACACGAAGGTCGCCAGGATCGCCTGCGCACTGCAGCTATAGAAGGACTACTGCAGCGGACTACTGCAGCACTACCGGTAGTACCCGCTTGGTCCGGAAATCGGGATACCGGAGTAGCGGGAGATCAATATCATATCCGGGGACCGAGAGCTTTGCACCACAGAGCAGGGAAAGAATATGAGACAGAGTGAGCCTGAGCAGAACAATAGAAGACGAGATACCAAATCGAAAACCGGGAGTAGGTGTGTGTGTGAGAGAGAGAGAGAGAGAGCGTCAAGAGAGCAAATTCATAATCAGTAAGGGACACAAGGAGAGAGAGATGTGGTAGGGAGAAGCAAGGAGACAAGAGGAGGGTGATATCCTTCGCTCCGATCAACAGGTAAGCATGACTAATCTTGTTCCGTCAGTAGAGGCATGTTTGTGCGTATGTGCGCGAGCGCGTGTACTGTGTGTGACTTTGTGCGATTGTGTATGACTGTGTGTGACCGTGCGGGATTGTGTGCGATTGTGTGCGACTGTGTGATTGCGTGTGATTGTGTGTGATTGTGTGTGATTGTGTGTGATTGTGTGTGATTGTGTGTGGCCCTATGAAATTGGAGATCCTTCTTCTCAAGGAAAAAGAATGCAGAGCAGAACAGAACAGATAGATCAACACTTCCTACGTCTAGGCACCTGAACTCTTCGAGCGTATTTTTTATTCCCATGAGCTAGTCGAGAGTTCGAGGGAAGTTGTGGAGAAATTATTACGCAATCTTCGTTTGCAACCGAGACACACAGCGAGGTGCAGTGAAGAGTCGATCGAAACTCACCACTGTGCAGGTGGCAGTTCCTCATAACAAAGACGCAGCCCGTCCAACAAAAAACCGGACTTCTCCAGTAGCACCGATTCTGCGCGATTTTTGGAAGAGCTGGCCCACTCCCTCAACTGTGCACGAAACGCCCTCAATGCAGATGCAATGAGGACGAGAGGAGAAAGAGAGACGGGGAAGGAACAGTATCTTCAGTGACCGACTTTCTCGAACAGCCAAAACAGGAAGGAAGCTACAGGAGAAACAAAAGAGAAAAAGAGAGAGAGAGAGAGAGAGAGAGAGAGAGAGAGAGAGAGAGAGAGAGAGAGAGAGAGAGAGAGAGAGAGAGGCGAGGAGAGGAGAGGCGGGAGATGCCGGATGGAGAAACGCGGGAGTCCGAGGAACAAATGGCAATGGGAGGGAGAAGTGGAACGGGGACAGGGAGGTGGGGGCAGGGGGCCGGGGAAGTGGGGGGAGGGGGGCGAGAAAATCGAGCAGGAGGCGAGAAGAGATACACAGACAGAGAGAGAGGGAGGGAGAGAGAGGGAGAGGGAGAGAACACACAAGCAGTTGTGTAACAGACGAGAGGTGGACTTCTCTCTAGAATGGCGAGCGCGCCTGCGACTCCTCGGAACAGCCTCGGCAGCTTACCAGCGCGCCAATTTGCGCGTGCACGAGAGTTCCTTTCCCCTCACTGGTGCCAGTCTCCGAATTCGTGTTTCGCATTATTCCCGCCCCGTGCCTGTACGAATCCGGTAATCCCCACGTTCAGCCCACAGTCGGGAATCGACCATCAAGCAGTGTCAGGGTCAGATCCCACTACCCTGGATTATTCATTTTTCACCCTCGATTACGAAGATCGACGGTCAGAAATGAACAATAGGGGCTAGTGGGATCTGGCCGTCAGTCTCTGCTACCGAACCCACAGACCGATAGAACAAGAAAAATTTGAGACACCACTACCAGCCGTGAAGTGGGACATCAGTACCACCAGTTCCACAAGTAGTAGTACCAGCAATAGCACCAGTAGCACCAGCAGCACCAGCAGTGGCAGCAGTCGCAGCAGTAGCACTCTCCTACTGCTACGGCGCTACGGTGCTACGTGCTACCGTCTTCCCCGGAACATAACGCACCCTAAAAATGAATGTATAAGCTATATTTCCGGCCAGATACAGCGAAAATGAGGGTGCGTTGTGTTCGGGGGAAGATGGCAGGATGCTACTGTCCAATGATTTCCCCAAAGCACGGCAGCATATCCAGCGGTGTTGCATTGCTGTCGCAGCCATACGGGACTGCCTGTCGCTCACGCCTCCACGCCTTGGGGCACTGCGCAGCGTTGGATGTCGCACACCTCGGACTGCCCACCCAAACAGATAGTAAAAGCGGGAGACTAGGGCGAGATCCGACTGGCAAAGAGGATTGAAGTGTCTGAATGTGGACGTGTTTGCGGACAGGTGCGAAAGATTGTGATTGATCTACTTCTCTGCACCTGCGTGGAACACGTCCAGGTTCGGACACTTCTTCCAATCCTTTTTGCCAGTGGGATCTGGCCGCCAAGTCCCACTGGCAGCGTCGAGTGTCCTCAACGCCTGAATCAGGACGTGTTTGTTGCAATGAGCGGTTGAGGAAATTCAAAGCCATTTCTCCACATCGCCACAAAACGTCCAGATTCAGGCGTTGAGGAAACTCAACGCTGCTAGTGGGACTGTCCGTGTGGGCGAATGCTGCACGTTAATTAAACCACCAGTACACTTTAATTAAACCACCAGTACTTGGGCGACGCCTTAGATAAATAGAATCGACAGCCCGCGCTGCTTCGAGATTTGGGCGGCCGACTACTTATGCCCGCCCGCGGTTGTCGTTCTCCTGGTAGTCCGATAGTTAAGAGTAGGAGTAGTGGGAACTGGTGATGGTAAACCCAGTTACTACCAGTAACTTACACGTGGTAAGTGAAACTATAATGGCTATTCGGTATGGTTAATCCAACTCTTGCGTGTAATATGTACACGTGGTGGCCCGCTCTCATCCACCTTGGGAGTGGCGTTCTGCCACCTACGGAGGTAAATCCCTGAGTAACCCGAATCCTCTCTGCAGGGGTAATGGGCGAGAGGTGATGGTGAATCTTTTCACTGCGGTAAGGTGGTGACCGGAGTTGTCCCGGAGGGAGCAAATTGCCGACAATGCACAGTGGCGGATGGCGAAACCAAGCCCTTGCTGCCAAGTCGGAGCCAGGTCTTTAAGCATCTCTGGAGATCAGAGAAGTAGCGTATGGTAAATAGGGTTAGAGAGTCTTCAACTTGGTCTAAGCACGGTAGATATTGCACAGATGCGCACTAGGGCATCGAGATCGGCCGTTGTCGAACCTACCACAGGTATCACACTAACGGGAGGGGGAAGGATCGACCGTGACAACTGAGGGGACTCTAGTCGTAATTCATGAACAAGGTCGCAATTATGCACTTCGGGAAGTGGATGCCACGAGAAGGCGTGAAGAGTAAGTAAAGGAAGTGCAAGTTCTGCAGCCCGAATCTGGGGCGTGACTCCAGTTTTGAGAATACGCAGTAGTTCACAAGGCCGTATCTGGCAGGGAATACAGTCACGTGCCAACGCCCTGGTAAGTGCTGGGGGTGAATTGCGCGATGTGCTCGACAATAGAAAGCTCTCATGCGGCAGCCTGATTTAGTGTGCGTTTTAGAAAATCGTGGGGGGGGTAAGTAGGCGCGGAAGATCTTGCATAAGTGGAACACGCTCAGCAGCCAAATCTCGATTTCCCGCACATCACAGGCGAAGTTTTTTTTTTTTTTTTTTTTGAGAGAGAGAGAGAGAGATCTGGAGGGAGCGAGGGGACGGAAGGCAGCCGGGAATGCTGTTAGTTGCATAAGTTCTTTAAGGTCCCTGCGATGGGCTGCACGAGGAGCTAGCACGGAAAGTACTTGTTCCTCAACCCGAGCTTGGGTATTGGGCATAGCACGGTAGTCCGGAAGATCAGCTGCGATAGAGCAGACTGAATTCAGTCGATGACACGGCCACGGGCAGACGATCTGGGAGGAAGATGGTGCGAATACGCGGGAAGAATAACATAATTTGTATGTCCTGCAATCCTTAGCTTGGCCTGTCGCATACGATTGTTCCGTAAATTGCCAGTCTAAGTTCTGGCGATGGAAAGCATAGAGCGGGAGCGTCCAACAGCTGCCTCTGGAGTCGGGGAGTCGGGAAACGACCACTCTGGGCGTTAGGTGAGAATGGGAGAGGGTTGAGAGGAATTTAATACCACGCTGCTAAGCACCACCTACGGAATTGGGGAGTCGAAGACAGTGTAAGGTTGGTACAAAAGGAGGGGAGGCACAGCCGAACGTCACTGGTTGCTATCACGAAGGGCGGTTACACAAACAAGTTGAAGGGCCAGCCTAGTGAACACTTGAAAGCTAAAGGGTGAACTATGGCAAACCCTGGGGTAGTGGGGAGGCACTCCCTAACCCGCACGCAATCCCCAGTGATTGGGACAGAGTCAGGAACTCTGTTGAACGTTGCTATGATGAGGGGGGTTGCCCGCAGGAAGGAAATTTGGGTACTGTGGTGGAGGATGAGGAAGGAAGGCATTTCGTGGTGAATGAGGAAGTGAACAAAGTAAAGGATCAATGGCTGAGGGAGAAGTCAGTAATGGTAGTCTTCCAGGGGGAGGCAAGGAATCTGTCGAGGGCAGTAAAGCAAGACTTGATTAGAGCCTACGAGGATGGCTGGACGGCCAGGAAACTGTTTCAACCAAAAGCAAGGGGCGGGAGGGTCAAGTTTGAAGGGCAGAACGTCGCATCATATGTGGCTAAATCCAAGGACATAGCCATCTGGTTGATCAAGCAGAAGGAGATGAAAATTAAGCTTGACGACAATAAAGAGTACATCGTGACGTTCAAACCGCGGCTGTTGAAGAAGGAAATGCAAGACCACCGCATCGTGGAGGCGGAATCAAAGTTTTGGATAATGGCTCTGAGAGTGCCACTTGACGCTTACTACTTCCTGGGAAGTGCAGTTGTGGGTCTGTTTGGGGAAATCACGGAAATGCACCCGCCCGAATACGATAGAGATAAACCGAAACTGATGAATGTGAAGATCGACATGCCGGCCAGCTCCATATCAAAAATTGATGATGTACTTGTAATTCAGTCACCAGAGGGGAAACGCTGGAAGGTGGACATAGTGACCCCATACACAGACTGGTGCCGCCGTTGCAGGTGGTACTTCCACATGAAAGACAGATGCCCCCGAAACAGACAGACAGAGGAGGGTCGCAGTAACAATGGAGAAAGACAGGGGGGGCACAATGAGAGGTACAAACAACATTTGGAAAGTCAAGGCGGAGGGACGCAAGGAGTGACGAGGGAAAACGCAGGCAATCACGCGTCACAACAGCCCTCAAGAGAGGGACAGGGACGAATGGGGGAGGCGTCCAGACAGGAGGGAACCGGCAGGAGGACCAACTTGGGTAGAACAAGTGGCTCCGGGGGCCCTGCCCCCCGGGGCCCCAGCCAAGTGCTGGGGGGTGAGGCAAGGGAAGCTACTGTGGATGAGAGGGACACACACCGGTCAGAGCGGGTGTACAAGGGTTCAAGAGACCAGCAGGAAGAGGAGCTGAGGCACACCCAGTTTCAAGTGGAGGAGACGTACTCAAGGCCACGGAGATGGGGGGAAGCACAAGAGATGGAACAGGGAAGAACTTTCACACATCCGTGGTCCATGAGAGAAGAGTGGACACAGAGTAACGCGCAGGGGCTTGTCAACGAGGCTGGCCCCAGTGGAACGCCTTGGGGTGAACTGGGTAATGCTCGGATGCATGCGCATTGGCAAGACCCGTATTCTGGGTATCAAGAAATGAGACCAGGGAATGGGTTTCAGCACTGCATTGCACCGCCTCCCCGCACGCAACAGATCAAGATTGAGAGGCCGATCCTCGGCTATCCTTCGGAAGCCTATGATTGGAGAAACTACGTACCGCAGCCCGCGAGCAAAGGGGGACCGCCTCCGTGTCATAGCAGATGGGAGGAGAGAGGAGGATCGATAAGAAGAACGCAGAAAGGATACAATGGGAGGTGGGAAACAGGCAGGGAGGATAGCTAGCGGAACAGAGGAGATACGTCGCAACCCTGGCGCCGTAACATGACAACTCAATGTCCGGGAATTAGGGAAGAGGGGGGCAGCCAGGGACACTGGGACGGGGTGACACCGGACAGAAGAACAGAAAAAGCAAGGGTGGATCTGTCGAGGACGCCGGAATCATCCCAGTCAAGAATCAAGTGGGGAAGTGACTGCTTCGAAGACTATGGGGATACATGCAAAGCGGACGTTACATCTTCCGTGGAGAGTTCAGCAGGGTCGGGGGTTAGGAAGCAGACGGGCCAAGTCAAGTGCTGTGGAAGAATACCGGACAAGAGTCAGTGTGCAGCCACATTGGAGAGGAACCAAATGGAAGCGGTGGAGAGGTGCTTAGTCCCAATTTTGTGCACGAGTTCTGAGGACGGGGTGAAGTTCCTATCTCTATTGAACACATAAGGGGTTCCTCATATCCCCTCCAAGGTGATCGATAAAACCCCAACACCGGCAATGATCATGGGTRCGGTAAGATCACTGTATGGGGAACATGTCCCTGTTCGGTTAATACCGAAGTCCACAATGGCTCACGTGATAGTGGAGACTGTGCAGGGGTATAGCAAGTTGTATTTCCCGCTTCTTGATGCGCGGATAGCCCTGGAGACAGCAGCTGTGCTCAGCCAGATAGGAGTACGCAGTTTCCATGTGGACCTGCTGAGGGAGAGGAATTGGCAGGAACTGGAAAAAATCCTGGTCCTGCCGGGTATCTCAGCCATGGTCCTGGTGAATGTCAATGAGAAGCTCATGAATGAAGAAAACCTCCTTTCCGGTTTTCTGGCGACCAGTTTGATTGAAGATTGACGTTCTTCATCAGAAACAAGTTCTGCTAAAGGAAGTTTGCAGTGTCACTCAAGAAGCTCTATCAGAACAGGCAGCAAAGCAGCTTCCCGGAGAGAGATAACACTACCTTCCCGCATCCAAGACCAGGCGGAGAAAATAACAGAGAATGGAGAAAATTAGAGCGGTAACTTGGAACGTGCGGGGACTCGGGGATACCAATGGGAGAATGAAACGGAGGTGACTGAAGTCGTGGATTCACGAGTGGAAGGTTAACTGCGTTTTCCTGCAGGAATCTAAGTTAAATGAGACTAAATTGAAAGAGTTTGAGGTGTGGTGGGACAGGCCACAAGTGTGGTCCCCAACACAAGGAACAAGAGGGGGAGTAAGGATCCTGCTCCACCGGGACCTGCAGGCACACGTAATTGACACAGAGGCGGACATCTGGGGGAAATGGGCGTGGATGAAGGTAGAGATTGGAGGGGAGGCCTGGGTACTTATGACAGTTTATGCTCCAACGGCAGTCAGCGAGAGAGTCAGGTTCATAGCCAGGCTACCGAAAACGGACAGGCTGCTGTTAGCGGGAGACTGGAATGTGTCCCTAGACGAGGCTCTCCGACCAAACTCAAGGACAGCAGAACGCAACGACGTCAGGGCACTGTTGGAATTCTGCACAGAGTTATCACTGACCGATCCATTCCCGGTACTTAACCCGGATGACCCAGGCTACTCCTAGTTCTCAAATCTGCATAATGACAGACGGACTATCACGAGAAGACGACTGGACTTCTACCTCGTCAGCGAACAAGTAATGGAGAACGTTGTCATGACCAGGCAGGCAGGCCACCCGATGTCGGACCACAAACCAGTGGTGGCGGACATACAGATAAAGACGAGAATTGAGAGGGGGAGAGGCTTTTTCCGGTTAAACAGCTAGGTTATCGATGAACCATTGATCATGGAATGGGTTGAAAATCACATGGAAGGATGGAAAGATGCTAGACAACATTTCGAAACGCACGCAGAGTGGCTAGACGGGGGCCTGGCAATCACGTCCGGGGTTCTTGATGTATGTTCCCGGATCTTGGCAAGGAGTAGGAATAAGAGAGAAGCGGAGTGTCTCGGGAGGATTGAGGAGGCAGAAAATAAGATGGAGGGGCATCCCATCTCAACTATGGTGTGGGCAGCGGAGCGGGAAAGGAGGATGGGTGACTGGGACAAGATGCAGGTGGAGAAACAACAAAGATGGGTGCAGACCCTGAAGGTAAAAGGAGTGGAAACGAACGATAAAGTGAGCAAGGAATCCTTTCAAAAACTCAAGCCAAGACGTGCGCAGCAGCAAATGATGGAGTTGAGACACCCGTTTGATGATGCAGCCCCCATAGCCTGTACGGCGGTAGGGATATTGAAGTACGCGAACCTGTACTATGAAGACATTCTCAGGACCAGAAGACCGAACGAGGAAGTGGACACAGACCTGTCTCAGCAATCAAATATGTGGGAGGACACATCAGTACAGCTAAGCACAGCAGCGAAGCTAGATATGGACAGGCCGGTCACCCTGGAGGAACTCACCCAAACAGTGAAAACTATGGCGCAAGGCAAGTCCCCAGGAGTTGACGGCCTTACCGTAGAGTTCTACTCCGCGAACTGGGGCGTGTTCGGGCCGCTACTAGTGGAGCTGTACAACGAAGTGTTGGTAGGAGGGAGACTGGGGAAAGGGATGACTCACAGGGTGATCACATTGCTGTTCAAAAAAGGTGACAAGTCTGTGGTAAAAAACTGGCGCCCGATCTCCCTGTTGAATGTGTCCTATAAGATCCTCGTGAAGTCGCTGACACGCAGACTATCCAAGCACCTCCCGAAATTGGTAGAAAAGGACCAGGGGGCATTTGTGCAAGGGCGGTCTATATTTAACAACATTGTGACTGCTATAGAAACTCTGGAAATCGTGCAGTCCGAGGGCTTAGACATCGCAGTCTTGCTGCTGGACCTGGAAAAAGCGTACGACAAGGTGGGTTGGACATTTGTCCTTACCACCTTGAAGAAGATGGGGTTGGGGACTGGGTTCTGCACGTGGATCAAGGCAATGTACATGAGTTCCTCATCCACGGTGATGATCAACGGGCACCTCTCAAGACCGTTTTAGTTGTCACGTTCACTAAGACAAGGTTGCCCCCTGGCCCCACTGGTCTTCGTGTTGCAGATGGAGGTATTGCTCAACAGAGTTCGGCGCAATCCAGACATCAGGGGACTACCACTGCACAATGGAGAGGAGTGCACGGTAAAAGCGTTGGCGGACGACCTGTTTGCAGTAAGTGACAACACACCCAGAGGTTGGCACTAAGGGGCATCCTAAGGGAGTACTCCACTCTCTCGGAGGCTTCGGTGAACTGGCACAAATCGACCTACTTACTACCAGAGCAGTTTTCCCTCAGCGTAGAATGGGGGATGAAAAGGGTGGAAAAGGGGGGAGAGGAAAGATTTCTCGGGGTTCTGATCAGCATCCAGGTGGGGACATCAGCACAAGGGTTAGTCCTGCAGCAGCGTATTGCGGCAAAGCTCAACATGTGGGGAATTGCCTGGCACCTGTCACTGATAGGGAGGGCTCTGGTTGCTAATGTTGCACTGTTTTCCATATTATGGTTTGTGTTCACGGTTAGAGAACTAGCAGCTGGGGTGTTAAAAGTGATCAAACGCCTGGTGGCCAGGTTCCTGTGGAAACCACGGGCGAAATCCACAGAAGGCTTCATTTCGAAGGTTGCAATGGACACTTTAACCTTCCCACGAGCGAAGGGAGGATTGGGATTAGTGGACCCGGCCAGAAAGAACCAGGCGCAGCTACGGGGCTGGCTGGCCAAAGCAGCAAACTGCAGTACCAGGGAACAATGGATGACGGTAGCGGAAAAGATCCAGATGATGGAATGGGGACTCAGCAGACCAAAGGATGAGTGGTCCTGCCTTTTAATGCCCTCATTTCGGAAGAAAAAACTCAAGTCAGGGTTTTGGGAAGCAGTCCGAAAGACGTGGAAACAACACCCGCCGGACGTTCGGAATCTGCCCACGACAAGGGATGAGGTGCTGGATCAGCTGGTGTTTGACAATGCAGAGATTCGAGACAGTTCCGGAAACATGCTGGTAGCAGATGGTTCCCCAGGAACCTTTGGGCTCAAGAGGGGAATAGTCAAGATCGAAGATCTGTGGTCCACAACCACGGGGAGTTGGAGGACTCTAGGTGAGATAAAGAGTATCTTAAGAGGGCTACAAAGGGTGGAAGAGCACTGAAGGACGGTACTACAGTCAATCCCTGCAGATTGGCTGTTGAAATTGGGTCCAGAGGGAGTAGACCCCACCGGAACTTAGTACCTCTCAAGCGCGGAAGATGCTGAGAAAGTGTTGTGGAAGGTTAAGGAAGTGTTACCCAGTGGATTCAGGAGGGTTGAGAGGTGGCGCAGTGAGGGAACCTCGAACTCTCTATGCCTATTGGAAGAGGTTACAGTGCGGGCCTGGGACAATCCAGCACAGGTTAGGGTGGTGGAAACGAACAGGAGGGCCCGCACAAGGAAGGTTCCGTACTGGATTGGAGGAACAACGCTAAGGCAACTGCAGATTGACCCCTTATCTTGGAGCTGGTCGCCCACTACAGGGGAAGACGCACCGCTGAGTCTGGTGGACTACTCAACTGCCCAGGGATATCTGAGAGCAGCTCCCAACAGGAGAACCCCAGCCCAGATCGCCACCGCCAGGTGGCAGGCAGTATGGAGTGAAGACCTCTCCCAAGCAGGTTTTGAGTTCAACAGACTGTGGAATATCCTGATCGAACTGCCAAACGGTAAGCAAGTGAGTGTATTGTGGTTGTTGTCTCTGATGGTCACACCATCGGCGGTATGGCTGGCGAGCAAAGGTATGGTTGTAGACCTGGGCTGCTCAAGGTGCAGATGGCCATTTGAATCAACCAGGCACTTGTGGTGGGACTGTCCAGCGTCTAAGCGAGTATGGGCATGGTGGGTTTTTCACTGGTCGAAGTTCGGAGACCAATCTATCAGTTGGAGTCAAAGGTGGGTGTTGCTGGGTTTCTTGCCTACAGATGTTAAGGGCCATAAGGGGTGGGGGTATGTTGCACATGTCACAAGAGGTATTATTTGTGAAGTGGTCTGGAGGGACAGAAACAGAGCACGATTCTAGAAGAAACCGCTCTCGGACCTGGAGATCAAGCGTTGTATTAAACAGGGGATTGAGCAGGCAATTCGGGTCGATTGGAGGCGGAAAGCCAAAACTGGGAAAGGTTCAAGAGGTCAATTAAGATGGTTCATACGCACCTGGGCCTATAACCAGAAGCTGGCCTGCATTGATGCACGAGGGAACCTAAGCATATCACGCTGGGTTCAGGAGCTGAACAACCCGGGGGGATAAGGGGATATCCAAGGGTCGTGGGGGGATAGCGATATCTCACGGTGTCAGGAGGCAGAGGTGAAGATAGTCAGAGGTAGCAGGTAGAGATAGAAGGGCAGAAGAGTACACGGTATCTGGCTCCTGGCTCGGTGGGGCCACGGCAGGCACCAGGAGAGGGATAATAGGGCTAGTAGTTCCGGACCACTGGGACCAGGACACTCGGTCCCTGTTAGGGCCACTGTGGGCCGCCAGGAGAGTGTCAGTAGGACCCGGACCTCAGTCCTCTGGGCCGAGTTAGTCCCAAATTAGCTTAATATAGGAGTCCACTGTGTTGTCCATCCAGGGGGTATGAGATGTTTTATTATGGAACTAAAATTTGAAGCTCTGGGACATGGATTGCAGTAGTAATAGCCTTCAAGTTACAAAAGTTCAAAGGTTGGACTTAGCTTGCTGGGATGGTTCTTGGAAAGCAAAACTTTAAAAGGTCGAAGGCAGGGATCTGGAAAATTGTTAGTCTGAACTTTCCGCAGGCATTTGCCTGTAAGCTAAGCTGGCTGATGCTGTCAGTATCCCGGGTTGAATTGTGAGGTCCCCGGCCTCGTATCCACTTTTATAATTAATCAATTGTAAAAAA